GGTTTTTAGTGGGTAGCAGGGGCTAATTAATTGTAGTCCCACACTCCCGGTCGAAATACGATTTTTCCGACCCTCAAACTATAGCACCATCAGTAGGCTGCGGTGCGTAAGGCATTTTCCCCTCCTCTGCGCCAAAAAAAAAAAGAAAATATATATACGAGCCCTAACAACTATATATTTGGACATGATAGTATTTATATAACGATTAATTTATTAACAACAATTAAACAGATTATTTTGTTTTAATACATTTTTCAAATTAATATCATTTAATTAGACAATTAACAACAATTTTATCTAATGAACTACACAAACACAAAATATATATCCTATTACTTCTAATTAAACTAGAAAAATTTAAATTTTGCCTGACAACTAAATATTGTGACACTGCACGATTTGTATTTCTAATATGGAGTAACATCGCCCTTAGATTTTATAATCGCTTGAATTCGGTTGGGCATTGAATTCACAAAGGTTCTACACTGTTCAGGAGTAAATCCATCCCAAATATGCTTTATTTTGGCTTTAAGTTCTGGCAATGTCCGTTGTGGGTTGTTCCTCAAAGTTTGTTTCATTTTGTGCCACACTGTTTCAATTACATTCAGATCTGGACTGTTGGTAGGCCAATACAGAACATTAATATTTTGATCGCCAACCACTTTTTTGTAGTTTTGGCCGTATGAGAAGCCGTTCCATCCTGCTGAAATATGTAATTTTCGCCAACATTAAACTGCACGATACTTGGTAGTAATGCTGTTTTGTAGTATTTGTTGATATTTTGTGGCGTTCACGGTGCCATCAATAAATTCAAAGCATCCTTATCCTGAAGCTGTCATACAGCCACAAATGATTACTCCTTTCGGAATTTTTACACAACGTTATAAACAATCTTTATGAAGTGATTCTTCTTTCAAAAGTCTTCTGCTGACCAAGATAGTTTAGATTTTGCCCATGTGAGCCTGGCTTTCTGTTATTTTTCTGTTAACAGTGGTTTTTCTTTTGCTTATAAAACAACAATTTTCTTCAACTTTCTAAAAGCGACACTTTTAAGAATCCATTTGCGACAGTATTCCCTTGATACATTTAATCCAGTTTCATTATTCCATTCAGCGGTAACTTGTCTTAAAATATTTCTTCGTCCTTTTTTGCAGATTTTTACAAGTATTCTTTTATTTCTATCAGAAACTAACTTCGAACGACCTGAACTTTCACCCTTTTTTTCTAAAATTTGCCCAGTTTTTCAATAATGTTTAATTACTTTCCATGCTGTGCTTTTAGGAATATTAACTTCGTCTGCTTTTTCACGTATTGTTTTATTGTGGCAATAATTTTTAATCACTAATTCACGGATTTTTGACTCTGTACACATACCACTCACCATTTTAATTGATAAATACAGATTTACTCAACAGCAACAATGTTACAAGCTTTAGAACAAACCGGCAATTTAACATTTCATTTTACGTTATTTCCACAGTTTACTTATCTTAATTTGTTCCATTTTTATGGAAGTTACTTTGCATTGTCCCAATATTAAGTTGTCAGGTAAAATATACATTTTTCTAGTTTAATTAGATGCAATAGGGTATGTATTTTGTTTTTTATGTTGTTCATTAGACAAAATTGTTGTTAATTATATAATCAAATGATATTAATCTGAAAAAATTATTAAAAGAAATTAAACTGTTTAATTATTGTTAATTATATACACATTTTATCTTGTCCCAATATATAGTTGTTAAGGCTCGTATAATAAAATGTTTTATTATTAATAAAATTTTCTTTGTAAATAAATGAATTATACACTCAAAATCAAATGGTTTTTCATTATAATATGGAATATTATCATGCTCATAAATAACAATCTATAAAATTCAGTTTACAGGTAGTTTCCACAGAAATTTTATATTACCTTATGTGAATAAAGTAATAAATTTTTTGTAATTCGCGACGGTAATGAAAGCTATAACAGTACTTAAACGGGTGCTGTAATGAGAGTCCTTACAGCATCCGATGCTGTAATGAGATTTTAGTAACATTTTATGGAACCAGTTCATGTTGGTGACATTGGGTCATTAATTTTTCTAGTTGTCAATGTGACAATGTTTGTCTATGGATGTTTAAATACGTTCTTAGCATCGAATACAAGGTCCACAATGATGAGGACGTTGAACTCTGAGCAATTTCTCTTATTTTGGGTGGTGTACATGAAACATGTTTGTCAGGTGAATATATTTTGTGTTTTGACAGTTTCTAATTGTCAATTCCAATTTCTATTTTCAAGTGTTAGGGTGTTACCAACTGCTACATACCTATTTTCCTACTTTGTCAAAATTTATTTTATTTTTGAGAAAAAAAAGGATAGAAACGCGAATTATAAAAAATAGCATAAAAAACACGTTTCATAAGACTTAAAGCACTCATTCTTAGTGATGTATTGCATGTTCCCGAACTCGATAGTAATTTCTGTAGGTATGTTAGCTGATAAGGGGATACAGAGATAAATAATGAAAAGTTAATGTTTTGCACAAAAATTGCTAAATTATTTACAGTAAATTTGACAAATAAAATTTATAAAGTGGTATCGATGCTAAACAGAAGGAGATGTATCCATGATTGGCGTAGTACCTTAGCTCATAGAAATTTTAAAGACATACGAAAACTTGAAATATTGTATCCAGAGAAATTTGTTTAAAGGGAAAAATTACTAGACAACCGTTTATAAAGAAAGACAAATTAAAAACATATTCATGATATAATTCATACTGATGTATGTGGACCTATTGAAGTTTCAACTGTTCGGGGTTATCGATATATTCTTACGGTTATAGATGATCATACGGATTATATTCACGTTTATTTACTCAAGCAAGCATAAAAACGAAGTCGCGGACAAGATTAAAGATTATGTCAAGATAGTTGAAACAATGTTCAACAGAATTCCTAAAATAATAAGGAGTGATCGCGGTGGTGAATATGTAAACAATGATTTAGAAAATTATTTAAAGTCAAAAGGTATTACACACCAGAAACTATGTCCATATACACCAGAACAAAACGGAACAGCCGAAAGGAAGAACCGTACATTAATTGAAGCTGTAAGGTGTCTCCTAAGTCAAGCAAACTTAAATAGGTGTTATTGGGGGGAAGTGGTATTAACTGCATGTTATTTGTTAAACAGAGTACCTTCAAAATCAATCAATAAAACTCCATATGAGGAATGGTATGGTTGAATGCCAAATTACGATAGTTTGTTACCATTTGGAACAAATGTATTTTATTATGTAGATGACGTTGGTCAACATAAATTAAACGATAGAGGAAAAAGAGGTATTTTGTTGGGATAAGAGGAAAATATATAGAAAATATATAGAGATATGAGAAAACGGGAAAATTAAAATCACCAAAAACATAAAAATAGCTAGTAATAACTGCAAGGATGCGAGCAACGAAAAAGAGCTAAATTTAGATATCACAATAGGAATTGATGTTTCTATAGAAAACAAAAACGTAGAAATGAATCAAAATAAAGAAAATACGGATTTATATTTATCAGCCGAAACTAATGAAAAACGATTTTCGACAAGATCTACAAAAGGAGTACTAGCCAAGAGATTGATAGAATCTATAACCAACGTTCAAGACCCATTAACGTATGAACAAGCTATAAATTGTGACGAGAAAGAAAAGTGCCAAATGCTATAAAAGAAGAATTGATATCTCTAGAAAAGAATAATACTTGGATATTGACAGATTTACCTAAAGATAAAAAGGCCATAGGGCAAAAGGAAATGAACTTCACACGAAATTGATCCGAAATTACTTCAAATTAGGCAAGAGACAACAAGAGAGAAAACTGTTGCCTTCTCGAGGTTCGTAAACAATGGAAGACCACTCTATATCACACAGTACACGATTAGTAACAAACATTAGTTCCTATCTAAATATGCTAACATATAACGCCAGCATTGATTATTCCATGTGGTAAAGCACTAAACGTCTAAAGCGACCAACTGTCTAAACCAACATATTTCTCCAATAAAAAACGAAGACCGATCTATATAATACGCGATATTCCTAGATATTCTACAAAATCGTACAACTACTTCCTATGAAATATAGCGACTTAACAAAAGCATATTAAAATATATCATATCTTTAGAGTTAGACATGAATGCGAGCACGCTTCCTATTGTGCTATAGAAGCTGGAGTACCTCTTGGTCCAATTTTACATCTGTTTATAGCAGTGATATCCCTAAATCAGATGAGGTAAGTTTTGTTATTTGGCGAAAGTGTTGCAGGATTGGCGAATTGACGAAGGGACTAAAATGTGATGACTAAAGATAAACGAAGAAAAATCTACCCATCTAAACATTGCGAACAAACGTATCAATTACATTCCTGTCGCTATCAACAGAATTATTGTAATATGTTCTGATATAGCTAAATACCTTGGCATTCAAGCTGGATACGAAGCTTCGGTAGCAAGTACACGTCAAGAAAAATTATGAGCAACTACACCTTAGATATCGTAAAATATCGATTCAAAATAACCCAGTATACAAGTAAACATTGATGTCCAGCTATGGGGATGCACTAAACAAAACAATATTGTCGTAATACAGGGGTTTGAAAATAAAGTACTTCACCGTATTGTCAATGCGCCGTGGTATGTAAAAAACGCAAAATTACATCGAGATCTGCAAGTAGAGATGATTGCCTGTGTCATCATAAAACTCTAAACTGGAAGGCGATCCTCATGTTTATCATCATGACAACGTTGAAGACATCCAGCTACACGACGACAGTGGATTAGCGTGCCGGATTAACAGAATAAAAACATCTGACCTAATGAAGTTACTAAAAACCAATGTTTTGTGAGTGTAATGTCGGAAAAACAAACGTGTGACAGCCGCTATTTAAGGTGGTAAAAGTAACAACTAAAATGCAATTGTTACCAAATATCCACGTTCATTATTGTTACTTTTAAACTTACCTTTTAATATTTCTTTGAAAAAATCAATTTTTTTCTTTTTTTCGCTAAGATAATCTTCGTAAGCGTCATCCTTATTATTATTCTGGTCTACATTATCGTAATATCCATTACCATTTTGATAGATACTTTCATTTTCAATTATTGAAGCAGTTGCTTCTTCAATAACAACAGCATTATTTTGAAGCTTAATATTGTGCTTTAAATCGGCGAATTTTTTTTCAATGAGCGATTTTGCTACAGGTCTTATCATTCTTTTATTTCCTCTAGTGGGTTGCAGTAAGGTCAGGTCTTGAGGTGCATTTTCGTCGAAACCACTGAAAGAAAGATCAAGAGTGAAATCATCTAGAATTAAGTCTTCGTAATAATCATGTTCTTGGTAGTCTTCGTATTCGTAATCATCATATTCGCCATTTACGTTGACTAGATATATATCATCTTCATATTCTTGGTAGTCTTCGTATTCGTAATCATCATATTCGTCATTTACGTTGACTAGATATATATCATCTTCATATTCTTCGTATTCTTCAGCTTCGTCATAATATACATCTTCGTTTTCATCAACGTAATTTATTATAAACGGAATAACGTATTCATGCATTAATTGATCATATATGTAATCAATTAATTTATAATTGTCGTCATCATATTCATCATACTCATATTCATCATCGTCATATTCATCATCCTCATAATCATCATCCTCATATTCATCATCCTCATATTCATCATCCTCATATTCATCATCCTCATATTCATTATACTCATATTCATTATACTCATATTCATCATCCTCATATTCATTATTCTCATATATATACATGCCATATTCACCATCTTTCTCATAATCATCATAGCCACCCTTATATTCATTAACTTCATAGTCATAACCTTCATATTCATAACCTTCATATTTATAGTCATCATATTCATCATCCCCATATTCATCATCCTCATATTCATCATCGTTATTTTCATTATATATATATTCGTCATCTTCATCACTTTCATCATTATCATAATTTTCGTTATCATTATTATCTTCATCATTATCATAATTTTCGTCATCATTATCATGTTCATCATAATTTTCGTCATCATTATCATGTTCATCATAATTTTCGTCATCGTTATTATCTCCATCATTATCATAATTTTCGTCACCGTTATCATCTTCATCACTTTCATAAGTATCAACATTTTCGTCATCGTTATCACCTTCTTCATTATCGTCATTTTTGTCATCGTTATCATCATTATCATGATTTTCGTCTTCGATATCATCTTCATCACTTTCATAATACTCAACATTTTCGACATCGTTATCATCTACATCACTTTCATTATCATCTTCATCACTTTCGTTATGATCATAATTTTCGTCATCGTTATCATCTTCATCACTTTCATTATTATCAACATTTTCGACATCGTTATCGTCTACATCACTTTCATTATAATCTTCATCAGTTTCGTCATGATCATAATTTTCGTCATCATTACCGTCTTCGTCATTATCATAATTTTCGTCCTCGTTATCATCTACATAGCTTTCATTATCATCTTCATCACTTTCGTCATGATCATAATTTTCGTCATCGTTATCATCTTCATCATTATCGTCATCGGTACCGTCTTCATCATTATCATAATATTCGTCAGCGTTATCGTCTTCATCACTTTCACCATTATTATAATTTTCGTTATCATTATCATCTTCATCATTATCATAATTTTCGTTATCGTTTTCATCACTTTCGTCATCATTATCATTATAATTTTCGTCACCGTTATCATCTTCATCATAATTTTCGCTATCGTTTTCATCACTTTCGTCATCATTATCATCTTCATCATAATTTTCGTCACCGTTATCATCTTCATCATTATCGTCATCGTTACCGTCTTCATTATTATCATAATTTTCGTCATCGTTATCATCTTCATCACTTTCATCATTATAAACATTTTCGTCATCGTTATCATCTTCATCACTTTCATCATTATCAACATTGTCGTCATCGCTGTCATCTTCATCACTTTCGTCGTCATCATAATTTTCGTCACCGTCATTATCTTCGTAACCTTCTTGGTCTTCATTATTTTCTTTACCTTCATTATCTTTTTCTTCCACTTCTTCTCCGTCCTCTAATTCATCTACACCCTCTTCTTGTTCTATTTCCTTCGTTTCATTATTTTCATCATCTTCATCAACTGTATTTTCTTTCTCATCTTCGATATTATTGTCTTCCTCATTTTCGTTACTTTCGTTATCTTTATTATCTTCTACATCTCCTTCATTATCTTCTTTATCTTTTTCTTCCACTTCTTCTCCATCCTCTAATTCATCTCCACTCTCTTCTTGTTCTATTTCGTTCGTTTCATTATTTTCATTATCAACTATATTTTCTTCCTCATCTTCGATATTATTGCCCTCTTCATTATCTTCCTCATTTTCCTTACTTTCGTCATCTTTATCATCATTTGCATCTCCTTCATTATCTTCTAATTCAGCAACACCCTCTTCTGGTTCTATTTCCTTCGTTTCATTTTTGTCATCTTCGCCATTGTCATCACCTACGTCATTTTTTTCTCCTGATTGCTCTCCATCTTCTAATTCATCTACACCCTCTTCTTTCTCTGTTTCCTTTATTTCTCCTCCACTCCCCTCTTCTATGTTTCCTATGTGATCTGTAGTAGTTCTCCAAAAATAATTTTTGATTTTTTGATAAACTTTTTGTGCTGTTTTTACGACTCTTGGGTTTTTAGCCGGGTTTTCTAAGTTATTTTCTTCTTTTTCTGTTATTGTGTTTTCATTATCTACTTGTTTTATCTTTTCTTGATCTATTATATCTTCAACAATTTCTTTATTATTTTCGTTTAAATCTGCATCTTCCTCATTTATCACTCGCTCTTGTGATTGTGATCTTTCTTCTGTATTCTTTTTATCTCCATCTACAAGCTGTTGTTCGCCAACAACGTTTCTTTCTTCATTGGCTTTATCTTCTATAACTTCTAGGATTTTGTTAGTGGTAGTATCTTCATTTTGTCTTTCTTCTATCAATGTTACTTGCTTTTCTTCTTGATCGGATATTATTTTTTTGGACTCTTCACTTTCCGTCGACATTTCTTCACCGGATCTTTCAGCTGGCTCTAATTCGCTATTTTGCGTAGTTTCATTATTTTCTTGGCCTCTTTCTATTTCTTGTTCATTGGAAGTTGTTGATATTTCCGAATCGTACATTTTTGGCAACGCTCGTTTTTTGTACAGATCATTATGATTATTTTCTCTTTCAGTGTGACTTACAGACTCAGATGGATTCTTTTCTGTTGTAAATGAAAGTGTTTCCATTATTGAATTTTCTAAATTTACCGCATCGTTTTGAATAGCTTTTTCAACGATAATTTCATTTGCTCGATCATCAACTTTTCCTATCCAAAGAAAAAATAGCATATATGTTTTTGGCTGTGTTTTCAGTTCACCCCTATTATTTGTTGTAAGTACTTACCTGATGTAGCTTTTGATCTATCTGGATTGCAAAGAAATAAATATTAATCAAAAAATTTTTTGAAAAATAAAATTACTAACATTTCGGTGATTTAAAATGTTCTTGTACGTTCATATCATCATTTACATGTATCGAAAGCAATTTCGGTTCGTTTCCTAGTATGATTAATAATAATTTTAACAATTATACGATTAATGATAAATTTAATTTTACCATGATTATGAGGATTATTGATTATTGGTTTAACTGAGTCGTTTCTTGGATCTGGAAACAATTTACGGAATTAACGAAAAATCTTATGAGTTAAACAAAATAATCTTACGAATTCTTCTAACATTTTCTCTTCCGATTACTTCATCTTGTTCATTTTTGGATGTTTTAAAAATTAAGTTTTTTGGATTTTTAACTAAAGGGTAATTAATTTACTAACTGTTAATTTCTTAACTAAAACCTACCTCTGTGTTTATTTTTAGTCTTTTTTGGATTATAAAACAAATAGTCTTCATCGGAGCCTAATTAGTTAAAGAACTAATTATTAAAAAGTTAGATTGATTAATAATGTTTGAACATTGTTTTTTACCTTTATTTAGGGAATAAAAATAATCTTCGTTAACTATGAAGAAAATTAAATTAAATATTTGATTTAAACTTATTATAATATAACTTACTTTTTGGTTTAGGGTCTGAAAAAAAACATTTTTATGGTAAAACGATCAATTAGAGTACAAAATCTTACATTTAAAATGACGTTTCGAACCAAACTTGTTCTTACGTTGTTTTTTATTGTTCTTCTTATTTTTTGAATCAAAATCATTGTTGGTTTTTTTCTTTTTCGATTTTTTACCTAAAAAGAAAGGTTTTGTAGCGACTCCATTGCTTAAGCACTACAACATCCAACTAATACCTAATTTGATAAATGTAGGCAATATTTTTAAATTTAAATGAATCAAAACAAAATTTTAACTTTACATTGAAGAATTTAAATGGCGCAATCAGTTCTTTGTTATCGGGTTTTACAACAACGAACCGACCAGTCGACAAAGAAGTTCTAATTCATCTAAAATTGGCAATCAATTCGCAAGACTACAAAAGCAAGACAAAACGAATGAAAATCATAATAATTAATCATCATAATTTTACTACAGTATTTTATTTTTCTGCAATCCTTGTTCACTTTCCCAAATCATTATCCATCGTAGAGAATTTAAACGATTTATTTGAAACATTAAATAACGTCGATATGACACTTGAAATCTCAAAGATCTCTATTCGATGGTGACCGGATAACTCTGAAGAGTTACATTAACACCTGTCAGTGTCCTAACAGAAGAATGTGTATCGACAATTCTACAAAACTCGAATGTATGATCCTTCGAAATATCTAACAAGAAGAGATTTAAGTTATCAAAAAAATTATCAAAAGCCAAATTGATAGTTTGAGTCCATCAGTAATTACAAAGCAACGAAAAGCAATATAAATCAAACATAATATGTTTCTCACCATGATAGATGGAAAAACATGTACTATTTGCGCTGCTAATCCACGGCAAATGAATAATTTAGAAAAGGTGGCAGCAAGACCAGAAAATGATAACGCATTTCGCTATGGTTTATCAACATTATATGCCTGATTACGTTGCATGGAGATGATTTTACATATATCATATAATCTACCCTTCCGAAAGTGGTCTGCTACTACCGAAAAAAATAAAAAATTAAAAAAAGATAAGAAAGCTTTAGTCAAAGCAAATAAGTGGTAATACAAACGATGGAAATACTGCTAGAAGATTTTTTTGTAATGCTTCTTCTTCAGCAGAAATTACCGGTGTCGACGAAATATTGATTAAGCGATTTTATATAATCCTTCAGGCGGTGTTATGGTAGATCCAGAAAAATTTGGAGAATATGCGATAGAAACGGCAAAAATATACATTAAAAGTTATGACTGGTATTACATGCCATCTTTCGTACATAAAATATTAATTCATGGTGAACGTATTACACTATTAATCTCGAAATAAAGATTACAAAAAATGTAGATTACATTATGCACGAAAATGTTCTAGATATGCTACAAACGAAGATGTATTTCATACACTCCTTTATACATCAGATCCATACATAACGAATATTCGAAAGCAGTGCATTAAAAATGTAAAGAAACTTGACGAAGAAACTTGAACAAGTTGAACAGTGTCAGGCAATGATGGAATAGTGGACGAGTTTAACATTATTATACATTGCATTATAATATTTATATCTCAGATAGAGATTGTAATCTGTTAGGGGTTTTTTCAAAAACAATATTACTCGGTAATATCGGTAATACTCATAAAAAGGAATAAACTATACATATAATTGTGTATACTACTATAATTATTATATACCTATACTTAAAATTGTTTAACATATTTTAACCCTGTTTTTAAGAGGTTGCATTAAATGAAAGACATAAAAAGATACACTCCATCCAATAATCAACCAATAATGCAGTTCTTGTATTTTTTTTTCTTAAACTCCATTATAATAACAAAACTAGAGTGCTCTACACTCGACTTTCTAACATTTTTATACGACTGAAAAATAAATTTTTGGAAAAATACCTTTAAACGGGCACTAAATTAAAAATAACTGTTGAATTTTCTCTATTTTAACTCCCATATGCAAAATCGCATGTGGCGGTGATTTGTTAAGTAAAATACTACTTCCAGATGCTTCAAGTGCACTTCCCACGTCATTCCGCTGTCTAGATGCATACCCAGAAATTTTACAGTTGTAGATTCCCTCCCACGTCGAGTGGTCTCCAACACTATATGTTCTGTTTTTTCACTGTTCAGTTTGAGCAGATTATTGCTGAACCATTCTTGAATGGACAATATTGCTTCTTGTGATTTAGCCATCAAGTTATCCTTTGTAATGTCCTTTAATACGATGGCTGTATCATCAGCATATAAATATGTCTCTTCAATAATGTTGCAAGGCAGATCATTAATATATATAATAAACAGGAGAGGTCCAAGAACAGACCCCTGAGGAACACCATGTTTGATTTTTACACTAGACGATCTATTACCATTATACTCAACATATTGCTGTCTATCCATCAAATAAGATCTTATTAAATTTAGTTGTAGACTTCTAATACCATAAAACTGAAGTTTACTCAGGAGGATGGAGTGGCTGATGGTATCGAATGCCTTGCTGAGGTCCAGCAGGTCGATCTGAACCAGATTTTGTTCATCGTGTGCTATCGTATAAAGGCAATTACTTCAGAAACAGCCGTCATTACCGATTTGGCTGATTGGTACCCGTGCTGACTGGTCGCAAAATATTTATTGGTCTTAAAGTATTCCACCAACCTTCTTGCTATTAATCTTTCAAATATCTTGGAGATAACGGGCAAAATTGATATAGGTCTATAATCGTTATAGTCCTTTTTATCACCCTTCTTATATAATGGCAGGACTCTCGCTGTCTTGAACTCTGAAGGAAAAATTCCATCGCTGACACATTTATTGAACATAATATTAAGATTGACCGCACACTGTTCTATTACTGACTTTATTATATTGTTTGTTAAGCCATATGTGTCGCTGTTTTTAATTTGACCAACTATTGTTATTATTTCTGTTGTTGTTATTGGTCTGAAGAAAAAAGAATTTACATTTGTCACATTTAAGTTTTTGAGGTAGCGATCAAGTGAGTTAGTTGACGGGAGTGTTTGTTGATGTCCTCAACGTCGAGAGGTACAGGACTACTATTTGAGCCACTCTTGGTATACTGATTTATTACCTTCCATATTGCACGTTGTTTGTTGCCAGCATTGTTTATAAAGGTTTCATTTTGTTGTCTATTATAATCATGTATTGCCGCATGATACTGTTTCTTATATTTTATGTACAGCTGATAACATTCCTGGGATTTGGAAACTCTCATAACTGTAAATAAAGCCTTCAAAGTTCTTTCCATGTTCATCAATTCAGCGTTCTTGAAATGTTTCATTTTTGTTGTGCTTGACTTTATCTTTTTCTTTACAGGAAAACATCGATTAAACAGTCCCAAAAAGTTTTCATGAAAAACTCTACTACAGTTCCGAGCAGAGTTGATTGCAGAAAGATTTAACGGGGTATCCGTAAGTAACTCCCTTCCCAATCGATTTGCATTCTCGTTACTATATATTCGTGTTTTCTTAATGTGTCTCTTTTCAAGCACCCCTTTTCTCAGTTCTCTGACCACCTGACCAAGATGATCCGATAAATAGAAATTCTTGGTAACCGTTTCAATTTGAAGATTGCTGACATTTGTAAACACATTGTCAATACAGGTAGCACAGGATGCACTAATACGTGACGGTTCACTAAACAATCTATTGAAATTAAATGTATTGAGTAAATCGACCGTCATATCAGTTTTATTACTTTTTTCCATAAAATTAATATTAAAATCACCCATTAGATATAGTTGCTTTGACACCAATTCATCATCTAAGTGGTCCATAACTTTTTGAAGCTGCATAAGAAAAACGTCAAAATCACCTGACGGCGATCTGTAACATGAAATAAAAAGTGTATCCCTCGACTCAATGGCAGCTATTTCGAAATCCCGCTCAATGGGAAACGACCTTATATCCGCTCTTTCTTCAGCAGCAACTTCAACTCGAACCAGAATCATCACGCCACCATGTTGCATATTCCGCCTACAGAAAGACGATACCATCCTAAAATGTTTCAACTTCACCTTCCTGTCAGCATCACTCCTAAGCCAATGCTCTGTCAGGCCAACTACATCAATGTTGTGGCCATTTAGGATCATTTGCAAACCGTCTAGTTTATTTGCAATACATTTTATATTCAAATTAAGCAAGATGCAGGTATTGAATTTTTTATGATCTACAAGCTTCACTTCAGGTCCGTTCTCCTGATGCGCGGCAATAAAAAATATTTCGTAACTCGAACTCCCGCTGGCCAAGTTTCTGTATTAATGATAGTCTCTTTGTAACTCTCCGGAACAGATACTTTGTACGAAGAGTAATCGTCTGGATACTTAGAGTTCATTACTTCGCATTTGGCATCACCAATGCCTCGATCTCTCAGATGCCCCAACACATCATCTGGTTTAACATTCCTGCTCAACCTATAGACATGGTAATGCAAGTACTTCTTCTTCTTCTTAAGACAAAACAGAATAGAGAAAGCAGAAGCCACCTTAAACCAAATGCCTAAACTGTTCAAAAGTTTCAACCTCAGCACCAATATCAAAATGATACTCCTCGGATGATATGTTTTCTCGGTGCTTTTCTATGGACTGGAATCGTGGACACTAAACAAGGCAACACGATGAAGACTCGAAGCTTTTTAAGCGTGGCTCTATAGAGGAGTACTAACGATATGACATGTGGAGACCGTATTAACAGGACAGTGATGTAGCAAATGGGCAAGGAGTCAAGAGCAGAAACCGGAATATGTTGAACATGTTATGAGAAACAGATACAAATACCGCCTTCTGGGATCCGTCCTCCAAGGGAAAGATTGTGGTAGGGGGGGGCAGGAAGGAGTAGGATATCACCGAATTATTCAGAGCAGCTGTGCATAAAGTTGTCATATCCAGGATGATCGCCAATGTTCGAAACGGATAGGCATCTGGAGATAGCTTTTTCATAAGCGAAAATTTTGCGGAGCATTTCGTAGGTCTAACAGGTTCTCAATTAAGGGTTTAGTGTGAGAAGGGAACCGATAACAACAAAATCAGGTACTTACAATAAAAGTATTGTTGTGCAAATCGACATTATTTTCCGAATTTCATTGGTACTTTCACTCACGGTATTCAAATTCACTGGAGAAAGAGTCTGTGCACGGATCCCACTGACTGCGCCAATTACAACAACCACAACGGATATGTTGTTTTTTTTAAAAAAAGGTTAATTTATTTATGAAAGGTTTATTTAACACTAAGATTAACCCCTAAATTATTAAACCCATGGTTTATTAACTGTATTTACAGAAAAACTTACTTCTTTCCGTGGTTGGAGCACTTGGAACTGTAACTTGGCTAATATCTGATATGATGATTAATCAGTTAATTACATAAAATTAAAAAAAAAATCAATCGCATAATAGTTTAGAGATCTCATTTTATGACTTACGATAAACGTTTGATGTAACTAAAAAATAAACAAAAAAATAGTAAGAACAGTAAGTTATGTTGAAATTAAAAATTAATATTTACCACTTTCGTGAATAAAGGTGTTAGCATCTAAATCATAATAATTTTCGTCAGTCAACGATGAATTGTCTATTTAAAAAAGGTAAATAAATATGTATTAAATATGATTGATTTTAAAAATTATAAATCACCTTTTTTTATGTCGAATATTTTTGAGCCTTCTTTTTGTGCACTTGTATCATTAAAACCCTGAAAATTGAATTGCTATTTTAAATCTATAATATATATCATAATAAAGACTTTGATAATACACATTTTTTGTTATAGCAATTTATGACTGCTTTTATTGCTCACCTTAACTTCATTATGATTATTACATAATACATCCAAACAAATCAAGTTTAGAAGAAATATAACGTAATAGTTAATAGTATATCTAAATAATCGAATAAAATACATTTTAACCACTTACATTTAACACCTTTAAAGTCTTTTCCACATAAATAATCGCATACTTTATGACTTATTGTATCAAAGTTTATTGATTGTTGTGGGAGGTTTATGTTTATTCCTTAGTTAATTCCTAAATACTTATTTAGAATATAGGTAATAATAATAATGATATCGTTGTATTTTACATCAGTTTTCAATAAATTTACATTTAAAGTCGTGTTTGTAACTTTTAATAAGAAATTTTTCAAGAAAGAAAACACGGTTTTATATTTATTGCTTCCAATTTAATAATATCATGTTTTTATAAGCTGGTAATATTAATTATTCGTAATTTTCAATAATTATTTTACCTACAATCAATGATTAAAGATATCATTGCTTTTCGAATAATATAACCCGTGCCACGACAGCAACAAACTGTAACACTTGTTTTTCTAACTATTTTACCTACCATTATCATGAACACTAGAAAGTACATTAAAATGATCAAATTTCATCCGAAGAATACAACTCTTTTATTTAGTAGGAACAAAAGAATGAAGTAATATCAATCGTATATTAAACTGCTCCTTCTTTTGGTACATTTTAAAACCATTTCTTATTGCAAAAATGTGTCTTTGCCGCGTAGTAAATCACTTACGGGATAATAATTTTTCTGTATGACTCGTAAAAACTCCGATACTATACGATTGATAATTACAACTCTATATATGTAGTTCCAAAAGAAACGTGCCAAAAAAATGCAACACCTCGAAAAAGATGAGTCACCAAGCTAGAACCTTAACAAAACAACTGCAAGTATGCATGTAAAAAGTCGGCGATAAAAACATTGTATCGATACACAAAGAATTGCAAGTTTTTATAAGGTTTCTTGCTGTAAATCAGATAATCTGTAACAGGAAAGTTAAAAACTGAATCACAAAGTAAATACCATTTGGTGAGTGAACGTTGTTTTCTCAATTGTTAACAATGCCTAGAATTGGTAGAAGACCGCGGTTTAACCAATTGACTGATTTTGAAACACCGTTTCGTGAAGTTGGTCGAAGGTTTGCGAAAAAACTTTGCGAGCGGTATGGTAATAAGAATGTGTTTACTTTTAATTGTAATGTTTATTATAAGAATAATGGGGATGTACATAAAATTCTGAATATTTTTGAGTTTGAGGGTCATAAATTTTGAATTTTAATTTTGGAACCCGCAAATTTCGTCAATCATGTTTTTCTTTTTTTTTTTTCTTCTTTACGAAATACTTGTTTTTTTNAATGTTGCTATGGTGATAACCATACATACTATGATGGAACATAATGTATCAAATAATTGCCAAAGTTTGTATTTAAAAATTCGATAACAACTCTGGCATTATGAGCTGGTACGATGCACCAGCATGTTAGGTATCAAAGTATAACAAAACTGAATAAAACTTTACAATGAATTTCGAAAATTATGAAAATGTATCATGGTGGAATGCTATATGTTATCAGATAAGAATGCGACGTTAGCCGCGGAATTATATTTCACAAGGTATCCGGAAAGAAGACTGATCCGGCAGAAAATTTAATAGATTTTTGGTCCTTCCCTAAACCACGTGCAAAAACATACCAAAATGGCCTGCAAGAGGATGAAGTCAATGTGTTGGCTTCACTTGCGATAAATTCATCAACATCTTGCAGAGAAATTGAACAAGACGTCTGACCAAAAAGCCGCTGCTCCCGAATATGATAGAAAAATATGTATAAACCATACAAAGCGAGGCTAACTCATTATTTACGTGCCGGAGATGTCAATCTAAGATTAGAATTTTGTAGATGATATTTAGAAAAATTAAATA